GGGCGCTGCAGGATCTCAATCCATGGCGGTGTATTGTGTTACCAATGGCTTGTTTGGTGACTGTGGTCCCAACTGTCTTGAGATCATTTACAAGCTCCTCCCGTGTAGTTCTGGGCTGATCCCTCACTTTTCTCATGATCATCCTTACCCCATGAGGCAAAATCTTGCATAAAGCTCCAGACTGAGGGCGATTGATGGTTATTTTGTATTCCTTTCATTTGCGAATAATCGTTCCAACAGTTGTTTGCTTCTCACCAAGCTTCTTGTTGATAGTCTTGTAGCCCATTCCAACCTTGTGCAGGTCTACAATCTTGTCCCTAAGGTCATTTGACACCATTGTCTTGCCCATGGTGGTGAGGTTTGAATGAAAGGAGATTCTATGTGCAGGTGTCTTTTATATACATGATGAATGATGAGTTGTCGTTAGGAGCACCTTCTTAAATTGGCAGGACTAATCTGTGTACCACATAGCCGGTCTGTGGGAGCCAGAATTATTGTTGTTTGGTAGGGGGGTCAAATACTTATTTTACTCACTGAACTGCAACTCAATTTATAACATTTATATCATGTGTTTTTTCTGGATTTTTTGTTGATATTCTGTCTCTATCATTTAAAATACACCTATAATAACAATTATATACCTTTTATTTCTTTGTAAGTGGGCAAGCTTACAAAATCTGCAGGGGATCAAATAATTAATTTTCTTCACTGTGTACAAAAAGGAGGAAGATTGCAGTGGCAAGAGCAGGCCCCCTGCTTGTGGTTGGGGCGGGTTAGCTAGGAACTGTTACATTTCCTGAGAGAGAGAATGTAGTTTGTGAAGGACCCAACTAGTATCCAGTCTCAATTAAGACAACTTGTGGGTAGACTTTTAAAACAGCTCAAAACAAGCAGTCTAAAAAGATGGATAATAATGAAAACTACCCCACTCCATACCTACCAAATTACTTTACCTAGAATGTTTTGGCATGTTTGTGGCTTTTCCTGTGTGGTCACTGGGAATAAAAGCGAAGAAAAAGTTCTCAAAAAAGAACAGACAACATAAAACCTGACAGAGGTTCTGACCTACTCAACTGTTCGCTTTAGTTCCTTTTAACTCTTTTTATGCCAGACTTGTCTTGATATTCTGCACCTGCAGTAGCCATGCCATTATTCTTCTTTCACACTTTACTGCCGTCAACATAACATCATTTACCCCATCACACTTTATTAGAGGTAACAGGTCATAAAAGGAAACATGGAGGTTGACCTTCCCGATTCTTGTTGCGGATCAATGACTTAAACCTTTAATAAGAGACAGACAGGCAGGCAACTAACATTTTACGGTCAGCAATGATAACTTCTCTGTTCTTCTCATGACAGTGTCCTTTAAAGTAAGCCTTTAAAAAGGGAACATGTGGGCTGCAAAGACATTTGGTCACCTGATCTCTGCTGAAGGTGAGGATCTGCCATTCTGAAGACCCAACTGCAAAATTATTTTATACTACCTCTGCTTGTCAGATCTATGTCTGTACCACTGGCTTCAATGGGGAAACCCCGTGACACACCAACAGGCATTGAAAGGACATTGCTAAAGAAACGCACAGAAGTATACAAGAAAGAGTTTAACTTTCCAAGGAAGATGCTTCAATCACTCTCCATCCACAAGGTAACATTTGTTTTTCAACCTGAGCTGGGCTATTTCTAAGACCCTTTCCCCCTAGACTCTTTTTATTGTAGTCAATGGAAACACACCATTACTGGCTACTTAAAACTGAAATGCAACAAGGTTTTAATATTGATGAATGGCGGCTTGTGCCTCCAAAGGGGTTAATAAATCTACTATTAAGCAGATGAGCAGCATGGACCCATTTTTTCTTGGACATTTATGCCTAAGATTGCCAGCTGACTCCTTAGTTTTATACTAGTGTACCTAACCTCAGCTATTGTAAATGGGGGGAATTTATCAAAACTGGAGGAGACAAAATCTGGAGCAGTTGCCTACGGAGACCAATCAGCTTCTCTCTTCAGTTTGTTTAGCTTTGAAAATGAAAGAGAGAAGCTGATTGGTTACCTTGCACAGCTGCTCCAGATTTAGTCTGCTCCAGGTTTGATAAATTCCCCTCAATGTACTTTAAGGGAGCTCCTAAAAATGCACCACCTGACCGCCCTTAGACAAAACACTCTGCACAGCACAGCAGTATGCTATATAGGCATGTGAAAATACATGTTTACAACCACTGAGATGATCCCTAAAACCAATGGAGAAACAATGGCACTCAGGCAAATTTCCTTAATCACATGATAAAAACTGCCAAATTCTGCCAAGGTGACTGTGTATTTAAAGGAGAACTATGAGGTGAGTGAAAAATCACTCACCCTCATAGTTCGAGCCGGCGTGTGACAATAAAACTGTCACGTCGGCTCTATAGATCAAGAACACATACCGTCGCTCGCTCACTTCTCGATCATCTCCCTGTCAGTCACCGCTCCCCGCAGTGATTCCCCCCCTCCCCTGTCCGATCCTCCAGCACTGACTGGAGGGATAGACGGGGAGGGGGACAGCTGGCTCTGCCTCTAGATAGGCAGAGCCAGCTGTCACTCACACAGCTGGGTGGATCTCGACAGTATTGCCTGGATCCGTCTCGGCTGCGGAGGTCTCAGTATACCGTGAGCTGTAGCTCGCTATATACTGAGCTTTGGGTCATGGGAGGATGCTAGTATATGTTCTCCTGTGAGCCTAAAGAGAACTATGGGGAAAACACTTACCCATAGTTCTCTTTTAAGCACATGCTGCCAGGCACAGAGGCCTGAAGCTGGTGAGATCGGGCCTGCAAGCTGGAGCACCCGCAAATGTCTATGGCCACAAGACTTGTCAAGGGCATTGTTTTCTCTAAAGCATTTGGCTTAATGCTGCTTATATGACAACTGACAATGCAGGAAGTAAAATGCAAAGGGCTTATTCCATAAATACAGAGGGGGGAATTAATCAACATCTGGAGCTGATTTGCACTGCAGCCAATCAGCTTTGCTGTGTCATTTACAAATCTTACCTGAGCAAACTGAAGAGAGAAGCTGATTGGTTGCCATGGGCAATTGCTCCAGATTTTGTGTGCTCCACTTTTTATAAATTCCCCCCAGTGTGTTTGTTTTTCACGTGAAAACTTTGCTGTCCGTTGGCAGTCCTTAGAGACCAATCTGATAACTTCCTTGTTCGAGAGAAATAATGACCGGATCCTTACAATGTTCTTCTGAGCAATGTTGATGACTGTTTCCAGGTGGCAGTATTGTAAGTTGGTTAACTGAAGTTTGGCTGCTATTCTAATAGGTGACAGAGGCTCCTCCTATCAAATTCTAAGCTCTGCACAATGCACCCAAAGAACAATTCCTGTGCAATTGCTTGAAAGCAGAATCCGGTCCTGTAAGTTATGCTCGGCTGCACGCTGCCTCTAAGTCATCACAAAGTTTAACTGAATGTAGAAATTCTTAACCTTCTTCAGCCAGGACACGGAAGTCTTTGTAACGCAACACCTGATGACTTCCAATAAAAAGTAACTTGTGTTTATTAACCTCCCTTCATTCTAACATCTGAAAAAGTTAATTAAACTAAAACATGTTTAAAAAAAATGTTTATTCAAATCATTTGCAATATCATCACAAGTCATTGGCATACTAAAAGCCCCACTCGCCCAAAGATCCCAAATGTGTGACTATACATGCATATACATATATATACATACACACACACACTATATATAGGGTCACTTGCAAAACAGGATATGAAGACTGCCATTGTTGACCTCTACGAGTCTTGTGCATATGCTTTGGGAAGAAGGAGTAAGGCCGCACTTGTCTAGTTTTTTTGAGCAAATAAGAAAACTATTTCAGGGAGAACTACCCACTCCTACACATTCGGAGTGATTAGGGCCACCCATACCTAGGCTCTTGGGGTGAATGAGCAAAACCTATCTGGACACTCAAGGGAAAAAGAACACAAATACCTGGTGATAAATATGGAGACACATATTTGAGCCCTCACTAGGCAGAAGGTGAAGGGGACACGCTTGTCTGGGATAGGAAGGTGAAGGGGACACACTTGTCTGACTTCTGAAGGTCAAAGGGACACACTTGGCTGAGAACTGAAGGTGAAGGGGCACACTTGTCTGGCCTGTGAAGGGGACACACTTGCCTGGCCTCTGAAGGTGAAGGGGACACACTTGCCTGGCCTCTGAAGGTGAATGGGGACACACCTATGTAGTGGCGAATGTGACACACGTCTCACCTGGCACTGGGAGTGAATAGGCACATACCTGTCTGGCAGTGAATGTCACACGTCTCCCGTGGGCTCTCAAGGTGAATGGGGCACACCTGTCTGGTGATGAATGTCACGTGTCTAACCTGGGCTCTTGGGGTGAATGGGGACACACCTGTCTGGGGGTGAATGTCATACACATGTTTTACCTGGGTGAATGGGGACACACCTGTCTGGGGGTGAATGGGGACACACCTGTCTGGGGGTGAATGGCATACACATGTTTTACCTGGGCTCTCTGGGTGAATGGGGACACACCTGTCTGGGGGTGAATGTCACACGTCTCTCATCTGGGCTCTCTGGGTGAATGGGGACACACCTGTCTGGGGGTGAATGTCACACGTGTCTCATCTGGACCTTCGGGGTGAATGGGGACACACCTGTCTGGGGGTGGATTTCACATGTCTTACCTGGATTCTTGGAGTGAATGGGGATACACCTGTCTGGGGGTGAATGTTACACATGTCTCATCTGGACTCTTGGAGTGAATGGGGACACACCTGTCTGGGAGTAAATGTTACACGTCTCACCTGGACTCTAGGGGTGAATGGGGACACACCTGTCTGGGGGTAAATGTTACACGTCTCACCTGGACTCTAGGGGTGAATGGGGACACACCTGTTGGGGGTAAATGTTACACATGTCTCACCTGGACTCTAGGGGTGAATGGGGACACACCTGTTGGGGGTGAATATCACACGTGTCTCACCTGGAGTCTCGGGGTGAATGGGGCTCCACAGTAATTGGCTGGAAGTTAGGAAAACGTCACAGCTCTTCTTGTCGATCTGGAATATGCCTCTGAGCAGAGGGTTCTGCCGGCCATAGTCCCGGGATAGGCGGGCACTGTGACCTCCCATAAAGCGCTCCTCTGGGTCACTGTACCCCCGAGCCTCGGAGCGCTCACTGCCCGAGCTCCACTCCTCGCAGCACTCGTTCAGCTGCTGGGGCACGGAGGCGGGTCTCCTCCGGGGGCTCCCGGGCTCCGTGCATTCCTCCCCGCTATCACTCCAGGCGCTCACACGCCGGTACATGCCGGGCAGGCGCAGGTTCTCCCCCATGCCGTCACTTGCGGAGCTCCGGAGTTGGGGAGACAGGTGGCTGCAGAGACCTTGGCTGCCAGGGTAACCAGCGGGCACGCGCGACGCCATCTCCGTGTGTCTGAGGGGACGGGAGCGCGCGCCGTGCCCGGGCAGAGGAACGCGCAGTAATCCTTGTGATGTATGTGTGAAAGTTCTGAAATCTATACTGAGGCACACGTGCTATAAACTCCCAGCCAGAAGTTTCCTTCCATGCATTTGTTACACAGCAGGTTCTAAAAGACATTTATTGATGAATCTTCTGGAGCTCTGACATAATGGTAGAACTTATTAAAAGTGAACCTGAGCACGTCACCAGTACGGGATGCCCTCCATTAGCTTTACAGACCTTGGCAAATTTATGGCTACCATTCCATAAAAAAGGAGAACCCATGGCCATCCCTATAATGAGGCAGCATGAAGTGGTTGCCTCAGGCTGCATCTCATTGGGTCATGTAGGGAGCCTGCAGCCCCCTTTCCGGCCTTAGTGTCCCAGGTTGATAGTTTGTAGCAACCCCTGGGCTCTTTGGCTCTCTGGGTGAATGGGGACACACCTGTCTGGGGGTGAATGTCACACGTGTCTCATCTGGACCTTCGGGGTGAATGGGGACACACCTGTCTGGGGGTGGATTTCACATGTCTTACCTGGATTCTTGGAGTGAATGGGGATACACCTGTCTGGGGGTGAATGTTACACATGTCTCATCTGGACTCTTGGAGTGAATGGGGACACACCTGTCTGGGAGTAAATGTTACACGTCTCACCTGGACTCTAGGGGTGAATGGGGACACACCTGTCTGGGGGTAAATGTTACACGTCTCACCTGGACTCTAGGGGTGAATGGGGACACACCTGTTGGGGGTAAATGTTACACATGTCTCACCTGGACTCTAGGGGTGAATGGGGACACACCTGTTGGGGGTGAATATCACACGTGTCTCACCTGGAGTCTCGGGGTGAATGGGGCTCCACAGTAATTGGCTGGAAGTTAGGAAAACGTCACAGCTCTTCTTGTCGATCTGGAATATGCCTCTGAGCAGAGGGTTCTGCCGGCCATAGTCCCGGGATAGGCGGGCACTGTGACCTCCCATAAAGCGCTCCTCTGGGTCACTGTACCCCCGAGCCTCGGAGCGCTCACTGCCCGAGCTCCACTCCTCGCAGCACTCGTTCAGCTGCTGGGGCACGGAGGCGGGTCTCCTCCGGGGGCTCCCGGGCTCCGTGCATTCCTCCCCGCTATCACTCCAGGCGCTCACACGCCGGTACATGCCGGGCAGGCGCAGGTTCTCCCCCATGCCGTCACTTGCGGAGCTCCGGAGTTGGGGAGACAGGTGGCTGCAGAGACCTTGGCTGCCAGGGTAACCAGCGGGCACGCGCGACGCCATCTCCGTGTGTCTGAGGGGACGGGAGCGCGCGCCGTGCCCGGGCAGAGGAACGCGCAGTAATCCTTGTGATGTATGTGTGAAAGTTCTGAAATCTATACTGAGGCACACGTGCTATAAACTCCCAGCCAGAAGTTTCCTTCCATGCATTTGTTACACAGCAGGTTCTAAAAGACATTTATTGATGAATCTTCTGGAGCTCTGACATAATGGTAGAACTTATTAAAAGTGAACCTGAGCACGTCACCAGTACGGGATGCCCTCCATTAGCTTTACAGACCTTGGCAAATTTATGGCTACCATTCCATAAAAAAGGAGAACCCATGGCCATCCCTATAATGAGGCAGCATGAAGTGGTTGCCTCAGGCTGCATCTCATTGGGTCATGTAGGGAGCCTGCAGCCCCCTTTCCGGCCTTAGTGTCCCAGGTTGATAGTTTGTAGCAACCCCTGGGCTCTTGGCCGGCGTCCCACCCAGCTCACTGACATCACTGGTTGCCAGGACCTGAGTGTGACACTCTGGCTGGCGACCCACTCAGCTGCTGTCAACCAATGAGCTAGGCGGCTGGACACTGGACAGAGTCAGAAGTACCACTAGCACCAACTCCCACAACAAGCCACCCCGTAACATGCATAACCAGCACCCCCAACCAGCATCACCCCCCAAGGAGAATTTTCTCTGAAATAGCTTGAAACTGATCAAAGTAATTGGCATCCATTGTTGTTTATTTCATATTTGATAACAATCAGACTTTGCTTTTGATATTTGATTCAACAGAATGCTTTAAATAACAATTACAAATGGATTGGACACAAATAACAGGATCCTTAACCCAAAGTTCTGTTGAATAAGTGATTTTTGTAGCTCTCAGTTAGACTTCTGCGCCTCCCAACAAGTAGTTTGTCTCACTCTTCCTGAGCAAACTGCTCCAGTCTTCTCAGGTGTGAAGGTTACCTTCTCCAGACTACATATGTCAGCTCTTTCCATAAATGTTCAATAGAATTCAGATCAGGGCTCATAGAAGGCAACTTCAGAATATTCCAATCTTTTGTTCTTAGCCATTCTTGGACGCTTTTAGTTGTTTTTATGGGTCATGACAAGTGACTTAGTCAGAGCTTTCTGACACTTGCAGTATGTTTCCTTTCTGAATTCCTTCATAGTCGGGAGATTTCATTGTGCCCTGCAGAGAATCAAAGCACCCCATGTCAAAAGCAACAAGGAAGCACCAAAACCTAACCAAGCCTCCGCAATGTTTCACAGTAGGTACGGTATTTTTTCCTTTGAAAGCTTTACCTTTTCATTTGTGAACATAGAGCTGATGTGAATTGCCAAAAAGCACCAGTTTAATCTCATCTGTCCAAAGGACATTCTCCCAGAAGCATTGTGTCTTGTCAATATGCATTTTAGCACTTTTTTATGTTTTTCTTCCAACAGTGAAAGAAATTGATCAAGAAGCCAGGCTGCCTAGTAACAAGTGACGCCAGCTTCCTAGCCAATCAGGCAGCCGGGAGGCAGGTCATGACGTGCCACCCAGCTTCCTGATTTTCTGGGTGGGAAGATGGCTTCACTTGTTGCTAGGCAGCCTGGCTTCCTGACGAATCAGGAAGCCGGACAGCGCCTCATGACTCGCTGCCCAGCTTCCTGATTGGTCAGGAGGTCAGGAAGCCAGGGAGCCTCGGCAAGTGAAGCCGATGTTTTTACACTAGAACACCGACTTCACAGGTAATCAGGAAGCCGGATGACTCGTCATGATCCGCCGCCCAACTTCCTGATAATCGGGGCACACGGCACCGATACTCGGTATCGGCAAGTGTAGGGAAAAAAAATCTTGATACCGAAAAACTGGTGTCGGTGCATCCTTAGTTTGTAGAAGTCCAAGTCTAGCTATACACTTTTGTGGTCAGTGGCACATCGTTTATTATTAGCTTTTTATTCCATGCACATCAGCTGACTCTATATCCATAGTTTACTACCGTGTTTCCCAGCAAGTAAGACCTACCCCGAAAGTAAGACCTAGCGGTATCTTCAGGGATTTCTGTAACATAAGACCTACCCCGAAAATAAGACCTAGTTCGGGGTAGGTCTTATATTACAGAAATCCCTGGAGATAGCTCTAGATCTTACTTCCAGGGTAGCTGCACATGTAATTGATTTTTACATGTTAAGAGCGGCCGCAGCTCCCTCCCTTCCCGCCCCCCCCGCACGGACACGCCCGCACACCCGCTCACACAACACGCCCGCCCACACAACACGCCCCCCTGCCCGCACACCTGTTTGCATCAGAACGAAGAGCGGAGAGCTCGACAGCTGCAGCCATGTAAGACATCCCCCGAAAATAGGACCTAGTGTCTTTTTTTCATGAAAAAAAAATAAGACAGTGTCTTATTTTCGGGGAAACATGGTAAGAATTTAAAAACTTGTTACCTATTGTATGATTTATTTTATCTGAAATCACTTAGATAATGCTTACATGAGTTTTGTGGTGTTTCTTAGTGCATCTAAAGATCTACACGCTAATTAGGTAAGTCACTGCCATTCAATGCACTGATAAATATGGACTAAGGAAGTGTCTAGCAGGCTTACGTAGGGGAAGAATTACAGTAAACATGCTCGCCCCTAGACATGTATGTGATAGTAGTTGGTACCACCTAATGCTCAGCGAGCTCTGTGGTCTGGACATCTTCCTGATCATCTTCGACTGGACACTTGAGTAATAACAAGACTTGAAATGGTACAAACAATACATGCTCCATGCTTTTTTACTTCATGTGAGAGCAATAATATTTTTTTTCCATTAATAATGTTTAAATATATTGCACTAGTGTTGTGCGCTTCCTATTTCTATATACATTGTTTCAATAAAAAACATTTTCTTAGGGGGTTATTCACTAGAGAGCCGAAGGATCCAGCCGCAGCTTCGGCTGATCCTTCGGCCGTCTCTGGGCTGCTGTGCTGTATTTACAATAGCCCGTACAGCAGCCGAGCGGCTTAACCGAACACATATGCTTCGGCTCTACTGAGCCGTAGTGACACCCGAAGCATGCAGAAAGGTCGGCTGAAGCCGGCGAATCTCCACTCAAAGGACAGCTGGGCTGGGCCAGCCGTGATCTCACGGCTCGCACCGCCCAGTTGTAATGACAGATCAGTGTTCCCAAATGACCTGGGGGCCGTGATCTGTCATTAAACAATAACAACTGGGTGGAGCTGGCCGTGACGTCATGGTCGGCTTCGCCCAGTTGTTATTCATTGGCCGGAAGGTGCTAGAAGACTCTGGCAGGTGGCGGCCAATAGGAAACAGATGGGCGGAGCTAGCGGTCACCGATAGCTCCTCCCAATTATTTATCTTTTGCCGGCATCTGTCAGATATTTCATTATGCGGCAGGAGTCCGTCGCATGCGGTCGGGTCGGCGTGCAGTGTTTTTTTTTAAATATTTTTTTCTTTATAAAAAAAATTTCCTTGAAAATAAATTTTTTTTTATTTAAATTGTTATATTTTTCTACATTTTTTAAATAATTTTTCAACTTTTTATTTCACTTATTTTCTCTTCTGCTCGGTACCTTGTTGGATAGGCTGAGTCGAAGTCCCTCCCTACTTCAGCCAATGTACGGATTAGCCATACTGAAATCAGCCGCACTGAGCCGGAGTGAATAGCCGAACGTCGTTCGGCTCTGTTCACTTCGGCTCAGTTATTCACTTGGCTGCCTTCGACAGCTAAGTGAAAAGCCCCCTTAGTATGGAAAGCAGCAAGACATGTGGC